GGAGGACATATTCAGACCTGTGTTTGGGAAGATTCATTTGGCAGCTATGCAGAAAATGGATTGAGAGAGGGAGAGACTGGAATTCAGTAGGTGAATTAAGAGACTATTGCCCTGGGGCAGCGAGGTGGTGCAGATGATAGAGCACAGGCCCTGGAGTCAGAAGGATTTGAGTTCAAATCTGGCCTCAGATATTTAGTAACTATGTGACCCTGGGCAAGTCACTTAACCCCCAGTTACTGAGTGTCTGTGTGAGAGAGAGAGACTGTTGCCCCTAATTCAGGTAGAGGGTTATGAGGGCACAAACTGGGTTAGAGGTTGTGGGAGTTGGGGTTGACTCCAAGTCAAGTTTTCTAGCCTGGGTGACAGGAAGAATGGTTATCATCATCAGAAATGGAGTTTGAAGAAGGGATCAGTTTAGGGGAAAATAGAATAGGCTTTGTTTTGAACATACTGAGTTTGAGAAATCCACAGGGATTTAAATGTTTAATAACCAGGGGAAAAATGCGTGCATGACATACTTAAATTTAATCTGCATTATTACCATTTCCTCCATTCCTCTCTTAAGTCAACAATCAACAAAACAATAAATTGAGTCTTGATTTGTAGCATTTTCTACTTTCCAAGATTTCAAGGCTCACACTGAAAGGCACATCTATCAGCTCTCAAAAGTCAACATGAGCTGGTTCCAATACACCTCTTCCTACAGGCCACCCAGTTGAAAATGTCCAACAGACAGATTAGCTCTGAATACGCAGATTTGGAATAATCTGTATAGAAATCATACTTGAACTCATGGGACCTGATTAAATCAAGATCATCAAGAGGAAGAGTATAGAGAGAGAATGAAAGATGGCCAAGGACAGAATCTCAAGGGACACTCACACTTGGTGGACAGGAGGAACATATCAAAGGAGGCTGAGAAGGAACAGTCATACAGGGAGGCATAAAGTTAAGAGAGAGCAGTGTCATGGAAGTCAAAGAAGAGAGAGTATGCAGGAGGGGATAATCAGCAGTATGAACCCAATAAGTCCTTTTCTCTTCTATGCAAATGAGTGGTGGTGGGGATGCTGGAACAAAGCACCAAGAGCAAAGCCATTGTTCCTCTCCTGCTAAACTACATTACTGATCTTTCAAATACATATGGGTTGAGCGATTGACTGTGGTCCTTTGTTCTCCAAGAGGACCAAAATGACATCACCATGTTGGAGTCGAGGTACAATGTGTCTGACTGTGGTAGATCAGACCAATACAAGCTTGGCATGCTCTACCATAGGTCAGGCACAAATAGTCTGTATGAACATTTGGAGTGAAGATGTCTCTAAATTTATGCATCTCATGGTTTTTTTGAGCTACTGCAATTTATCAATTTAATGGCTTTTGTGAAGCTTCAATCTACGAATCTGTGTGTTGAAGAGATAGAAACAGGCATTTAGTAAGCACAGGCAGCCTCAGAAAGGGGAGAGAGCTGCACAGCCAGAAAGCAGTATAATCAGGTCAAACGGTATAGAACCAGGAAGATGGGTAGAAAATGCAATGAGGCAGTCTTCTTGAATCCTACCTTAATGTCAGGGAAAACTTCTTCTAATTAGGAATGTCCAAAATTGTAATGGACTGCCTGAGGAAGCTGTAGGCTGATCCAATGTTACATATAATATTGTGGAGATTATCTCTGTGTGTGTGTGTATATTGGGGTAGATGGCTGCTAAAGTCCCTTTCACACAGAAATTCTGCTAGTGAAACTGATTTTTGTACTGAACTGTAAGATTTTTACATTTATTTCTATTGATGAAGTGGATGGCTTGAGAAAAACCTGAGAAAACTTATATGAGCTGATGCAAAGTGAAGTGAGCAGAATCAGAAGAACATTACAGTAGCAATTGGTGGGCTGGTTGCTTGATTGTTGTTCTTTATTCTTAAAGCAGCAGCAAATTTGTAACAATGATCGACTGTGAAAGACTTAGCTACTCCAATCAAGATATTATTAAACTGTTAAGTAATCAAGTTTTTTTTAAATAAAAGGACTTTTTGTCCCTTTATAATATGATATTTTCAAACTTGCTTAGCCATAAAAAAGTCAATTTTTCAGCATATGCTTATTTTTAAAAAGGGAACTTCTAAGCAACTGGTGCCTTAGCCATGACGTGACTTAGGGACAAAGTTTTAATGGAATGATTTCCTACTTGGACGTGAATAAAAAAGCTGGATAGTTTTGTCAGACATTTCATAAGCAACACTATAGCATTATGCAATTTAATTCGCTGTTTAAGGCCTTCAGGAAGAATGCCCTTTATTAATTCTAGCTAGATGCTGTCCTTTGCTCCTGCTTTTTCTCAAACTGCTAAGGGTTTATTTCATAATTATTAATTATTAACTCAATGTATAAATGTTTCCACTGTCACTCATATTTAGAAGATTTAAA